GAGTTGGCAATACATTTCATCTGTGTGAGTTGGTAATACCTTCTCATCTGTGTGAGTGGTAATACCTTCATACTTCTTTTCACGTATACTAGCTTCTTTTTTAAATTTGGTTAAGTAAACAAGAGCGTGATTAACAGCTAAATCAATCTGGCTCTACCAACAATATGGGATAAAACATTGATTACAACTCATAAATAATAAAAACATTGCAATATAGTAACTCAACAGAAACTTTGAATTAGAAGAATTATTTCTAGTGACTATATGAAAAGAACAACAAATCTTCATTCTAATCTAGATTTATGCAAAGTGGGACCTTTGAACCCCTGTTAGTTTCTAGATATATACGCAATTTCTGCGAAAATAAAAAGGTGGTATCGTAGGCAATTTCATTCTCTAGAAAACTGTAATTTAGAGAGACAAAAGTCGTCAATATCGTTTCAGCAAGTTTGTGTTTGTGCTGAAGATAATGAGAGTTGAAGTAAAAATTAAAATTGAACACCGCAACCAGTAGATATCTTTAGTGACCTCAGTATGAAATTGGCTATTAAATTATATATATATAACAACGGACAGGTACATTTTACATGTACCATATATAAATTCAAATCAATGTACGTGTTCACAGATAAAACTAAGAAAACAATTACGAATATTGCAATTGAATAATAAGACAATGTGAACGAACTACATAATAAAATTAACTTGATAAAAAATATGTTGCCTAAATATACAATTTTAAAAAATACCATTACGTAGTTCAGAGTAATTCATGATACGAATAAGTTCAATTTAACTTAAAGCGACGAGACCTTAGTTTTAAAGAATATAGTCAAAATATAACATGCCACTCAAATTACAGTTGCACAATAATCACAGCGAAATAAGCAGCGTTCATACTACGTGTTATAGGTGGTAAACGTGATACCATGCTTCCCCCGAATGACCCATCAGCAGATTAATACAACCCCATTATAAAACATTATATAAGTTGATTAATGACAAGTACGATATACTAAGGTAGTAATTACAATTAGTAAATATATACGGTAGGTTTCGTTCCTTTAAATTTATAAAACGTGTACGTGAGAATTTAAAATTAATGGAATTTTAGTTTTCATGTGTTTAGATTATTATGAGTCGATTATAAAAATTCAGTACATATGACGTAGATATAATGACGTTTCGTTATATATGGAAGAACACAGCCCGACGAAATTTAACATAGACGATAATTTAAAAATAAAACGGCATATTCATACACACAATAAAACACCAAAGGAGTACTTTGTTAATATAATGCAAATGTATTTAAAATACTTTCAATCAATCACCATGGTGACGATAAAATAAACGAACTATATGGTCATTATAGACTCAACAATTGCATTGGCTATATTTAACAGAGTATATCGCAACTCCGTAATGTTCATTTCACAATCCAAACACGTTTGTATATTTGCGATGTCAGGTATAGTCGGAGATGTCAATTTGATACCAAGCCTTTTACAAGTATACAACTGTGACACGGTTTGACTTTCAACAATTTAATACCACCTGGCACACCACACCATATTTGTCATCCTATATTTCATTTAACACTATAGATAAATAAATAAATAAATAAATAAATAAATAAATAAATAAATAAATAAATAAATAAATAAATAAATAAATAAATAAATAAATAAATAAATAAATAAATAAATAAATAAATAAATAAATAAATAAATAAATAAATAAATAAATAAATAAATAAATAAATAGTAACTATATAAGTAACCTTAACTTGATAAATAATGGTAAAAATAAGCACATCACTCAGAAAAAAATGTCATATTGCAAATTTCAAGAAGCAAAACGACTTTTGGTTTTTAACAATCGTGAAATTGCATATCTTGGACAGATTCGAAAATATAATATCCTAGTTTCCAATAATTATTTGTATCGGTAGTACAACACCAACATATGTTGTAATTTACTACATAAGGTGACACTGCAGAGTAGATACTAGTTGCTATAAATCACATCGTTAGGAATATTTAACCAACAGCTGGCAACATAACGAGAACATTAAGTTTTATTTAATTTCTTTTATTTGTTTATCATTATTACAGTCTCATTGAAAATGGACCTAGGTAGTATCAGTGTCTGAATGTAAATGAACATCATGCGCTAACATGCGCCAAATGCAACACATGGGTCTTTACAGTGTATCGACCTGGTCAAATAAAAATAAATTTCAATATACTAAGTGGTGATACGAATGTGGAGGTGGTGATGAATTACGTAATAAATGATAATTTGTTATAGTCTCATGGCAAAAATGAAAAAAATAGCAGTCAGTCCGTGAAAAATTATTATTATTTTGTTTATTTGATAATCAAAGTGAGACTCATTAATCAGTTATCTTTCTGAATTTCAGTTCTATAACATGAAGTACCAAGAGACTAGTAAATTCATCTTATTATCTCTGGCGTAATGCTAGTGGGATTATAAAAATTGCAGTGATTTCGATTAGTTGGCCAAACATTCGTGTTTCCGACAAGAACTGTCATGCATCCACTTTCCAATTTTAATAAAACTATTCATGTATGACGGCCACGAGCCTGTACCCGGATATTAAGCAACTGTCGACACTGTCTACATCACAACATAGATTACAGGGATATTGGTAGTTTTATTATTAAAAAGTGAATAATTTATACGAAAACATTAATTATGATCAATAAGCACATCCATAATAGCATTTTATGTCTGGTATATATTGATTTACGAATAATTACATTTCGTTTACAGTACTATACGTATTTTTTGCTGGACAGTAAGCACCTGCCGGATTGTTTTGGTCGTTATAACCAATATATCAAATCCAACAAAACTCATGAAAGAGTCTCGTAGTATTTAGATATGAGTAGGTGGTTTTCAAATATCCAATACCTTGCACGCGATTTTATTGTATAGTACAATGCTAAAGAATGAAAAATAAATAAAACATACGTGGCCATTATTTCTAAAATCGCTGAATAATTATATTTGCTTGAATGGCATGGCGTATAGACACGTTGTCACAAGGTTCTAGTAGATGCCGTTTTGTATGACAGTCGCCCGGACGACAGTTATGATGACACAAACACAATCATTTTTATATTGGCTGTATACATTATATTAACAACGATGTGCGACCTGTAGAGCTATTCTTGTCACATTTATACTGCTGTCTCTGAGCAATTTCATTGAGTGTATCAGCTGTGGTCGGCAATCGTACACAAGCATTATTATATTACAACAATACTCGGCAATGTAAATGGTTTTTAATTTCCCTTTCCATTAAATGCAATATATCAATGCATTAATATTGCATATTTAATTACATTTTATTCCTGTTATTTTACCTGAGTTGCCTCTATAATATTCAGCATTGCGAGGCACCGCCACGCGACAAACACCTGTTCTAAGAAAAGCGGCAGTTAACCCTTGATTTGACAAAAAAATAACTGAAATTACAACAAAACAGTAAAATGTAGTATGCACTAGTTTGAGATACCTTCATAATTGATTTTTCCATCTCCGTCAATATCTGCCTGGTTCAACATCTCCCTGACTTCGTCTTCTGGTAAGGTTTCTCCATATGTCGTCATTATATACTGTAATTCTTTGGCGGTGATGTAACCGTTAGTATCTTTGTCAAATACACGAAATGCTTCGCGGATTTCTTCGTCCACGTCTATGTCACGCAGCTTCTTCGCCATCATTGTGAGAAACTCCTCGAAATCAATTTCTCCGTTTCCTGCATAAAGAACGTAGTGCAGTTAGCATGTGTAATGGATCAATGAAATACCTGTGAGTATGTTTGCACTGCATTGCAATGGATGATTACATTTCAACGCGTGGATAACGTTGTTACATCTCAACACATATTATATTATAATATTATATGAAATAATACTTACATCAGTGTATGAAGTATACTGTTTTTTAATGTGTGAGCTTAAATCGTGTTCTGTTATCAAAGTTATTATCATCTACATAGTTTTCACAGTGTGACATAAATGTAACTATTTGAATGTCCCGCCATTTTTTCGACTGGAATTATATTTTCATATACGTTATAAATGTTTGTTACATTTCATAATTATACAATCTTTACCAAATATGATCTCAGTAGCGACAAAGTGGAATAGTTCAAAGAGTACTTAGGAAGATTAAAATATTATTTCAAAGTAGTATTTGTGACTTTTGACCATGCTAGAAACATTTCAACTTTGGTATATTAATGAAATGGAAGCACACTGTTATCTTCACGCGGGAGGAAGCTAGCATCGCCATTGCCTGAATTGTTAAATACACATATCAAATATTTATCTAGATAGTTGCACGAGACCGTAACGGTAACTATGGTAATATGAATAGAAATGATGTGTTTATTGTACTACACAAACGTATCCTAGGTAATGTACCTTTCCCAATCAAACTTGTACTCGGCAATCAGCCACGCTGTTATCGATTCCTCGATTGCATGGCATGCTAACGCATATGTTTAGTCTTATTGAACGTTATAACAGGAACAGTGTATTGCACTCAGATTAATTACAGACGAAGTGCCTTCAAAAATGAAAGAGACCTAACTGTTGCATTAAGTGAGAAGCATTTTCGATATGTCAGAATGTGAATGGGAAATCGGTATTACCCCCACTTTATCCATTATCGTTAATATACTGAAAAATATTTATTATTGAAAATAACGTGGCTCATTGTGCATTCCTAAGTGCAAAACACATTTTGCAATCAGTTTTAAAGAAAATACAGCAAGTAAAATTTAACTATGCAAGTTCTGTAAATAATTTGATTATGAATGGAATTTACACAATAAAGCGGGGTTTTAATAATTTAATGAAAACCCAAGGTTGTTTTCCAATGTGATATTTTACAATGTCAAATATATGGCGTAAAGACGTAAAATGGCTTAAAATCTCACTTTAAACATAACGCCATGCATTCAAGACAATCTCTGAAGGTGCAGATAGCCGCCCGAGTCTGGTGAACAAATCGTCAATTATTTACGAGTTGGTATACCACAATGGATGTATAATACTATACAACTTGGTAAGTACTATCGACGTGCTAAGACCTGGGTACTTGGGCAGTTCTCGGAAAACCACACGTATTACATTAAGCGTTTTTATTTATATTTTTATCGGGAGTAAACAACATTCACATGTTTTTATGAATACTGTGAAATGCCTTTATTCGTGTTTCATTTCTTTGAACTCCCACGCATTAGTATTTGGTTGTCCTACACTTAAAAATCACGCTCGCAGACATAAATCTTTGATAACAGTACCATCAAGTTTAAGTGCGTTGTATAATATACAATTGCAGTTAATGGTGAAACGGACGTGATTGGAATTTTGGTAATTTGTTAGAATACTTTGGAATGTGTACATTTAACATTCTCCATACCTAAATATGCTGAGTATTTAGCTTTTTGATAAAACATTTATTTGAATAATCTTTAACTGTATATTTTTAACATCAACAATTATACTCTGAAATATACCCAAT